TTCTCTTCTATCAACTTTATTGGAAAATTGCACAGATAATCAGACACAGAATTCAGAACGAGGCGGACATATCCCGGTGAAAATTAACCTTAGCTCGATCTATAGACAACGATTCAGCTCAGTGACCCCAATAAGGTCAGGTCAATTGCTTCCTTTTATATTTCACGCTTCCTTTCGGACATGACCTTTCAGGATACACGGAGAGACGGGAAATTTTGAAGAGGTCATCCGTTTTCTCCCGTTCAGAGCAAGGAATTCTGGTAGCGACCCTGAAAAAAAAAAAAAAATAAAGAGACGGATAATATCAACAACCAATCTCAAAATGCCAATAAACCCATATTCAAAATTAACAAACCCCTAACGATGATTTAACACCTTTACAATATGTCTTAACGATTTTAATATATTCTTCAGATGAAATACTATGAACTTTTTTATTTTTACCTGCGACACCATGCCCAAGAAAACAAGAATTCGACTCAACGAGGCTTCAGGAGTTCGACTCAACAAGGCTTCAGGAGTTCGACTCAACAAGGCTTCAGGAATTCGACTCAACAAGGCTTCATAAACACATCGGTTGTATTTGTCGTTTCATACTCACCTTTGTCAGTTGATACCAAGGCAAGAAGCAAGCCGAAAGCAGGTTGTTTAGCGTGGTAAGAGAGGGAGGGAGGGAGGGAGGGAGGGAGGGAGAGGAGAGGGAGAGGGAGAGAGGGAGAGGGAGAGAGGGAGAGAGGGAGAGAGGGAGAGAGGGAGAGAGGGAGACAGAGAGAGAGAGAAGAGAGAGAGAGAGAGAGAGAGAAGAGAGAGAGAGAGAGAGAGAGAGAGAGAGAGAGAGAGAGAGAGAAAGAGAGGGAGAAAGAGAGAGAGAGAGAGAGAGAGAGAGAGAGAGAGAGAGAAGAGAGAGAGAGAGAGAGAGAGGAGAGAGAGAGAGAAAGGTCGAAAGACAGATATGAATAGATGGATAGAGAGAGACACAACTACATACATAGAAATTCAGACATACAGGTAAAGACAAACGATAAACAAACGAAAGAGAAAGATAGACTGATACACTAAGACAGTGGTTCCTAACCTGTTTTACGCCCGCACCCCAAACAAAATTTTACTGTGTCCTCGCAACCCCTTTAAATTTATAACTTATTTGAGTGTAAATGAGGGGAATTTATACTAAATTTGATCAACTAAAGATTTGTTTTTCTTCTAATATTTGTTAACAAAAATCAAACATGTCCCAAACTATCTGAATAAACACTAAAAAAATAATCACTTGCTTGAAATATCTCCATGTAAAAACTAAAGAACTTTAAAATGTTCATATACATGAATTTCTAATTTAATGGCTCTTTTCTTTCGTTTTCTAGATTGTGAGTAATAAATAGATTAATTGCTCGTCTTCAAGATGGAAAATCAAAGAACTTTAAAACGTTTATGTAAATGGATTTTCAATTCAATGGCTCTTTTCTTCCTTTTTCTTGATTTTGAGTAATAAATAGATTAATTGCTCGTCTTCAAGATGGACACCTCTCGCACCCCTTGGAATATTATCTCACTCCCCTGTTTCCGAAACCCTGCACGAAGACGATAGACACAGACAGACAGACAGACATATATTTCAGCGGGCCAAGAGCAACGGTTCTTACCACGTATCTGTAAGTTTCAATGACAGAATCTCCTGAAGTTTGGCGGTCAAAGCTGATATGAGGTAAAACCAGAGGCGGGGCTCTTGTTGGGTTGAAACAAAGCCTATAAAAAGGTTTATCAAAAGCACGTTTAAAGCAGGCCTATTAGGGGAAAAAATAATAAGCATGTATCCCTCCTTCATTTCTGTGGTTTTGTGGATTTGTTTAAATTCCTGTTTAGAGGTATTTGTATTTTTTTTATATGTGTGCAAATTAAGCTTTTAGGTATATGCATGTTGTGTTCGTAGATATGTTATGTGTATGCCTATGATGTGTCAATATATATGTTAGTTTATGTTTTTTTATATTAGTTATGTTATCTATGTGTGTATGATAGTTTTATTTATGTTATGTATATATATATATATATATATATATATATATATATATATATATATATATATATATATATATATATATATATATATATATATATATATATAGTATTATTATGTATGTTGGGTTTATGGTCTGCTGTGTATGTGTATTTATCAATCTATACAATACTTAAATATGTATGTTACGTGCATGTTATGTATCTGTGTAGGCTCAGTGTGTGTGCGTGACTTGTTTATGTGGATGCTGTGTATATGTACATTATGTTATATGTGCGTGAATATGTTGTGTTGTATACATTTATGTTTAAGTATGTGTAAATGGATGTCGGTTTAATGTGTGAGTGTGTGTGTAGATTCTCGTGTATTTTGTATTTCGTGACTGCAATGTGTTACTGCTCTCTGTTCATACAAACATGCGTACTTTATGCGTCACAAATTTAGCACTACCATCACCAAAGCTATGCAAAAGATATAGCCACAATAAACCAAATAAAACACACTTTGTAAAGTCCATTTTTGAAAAGCTATGAAAATTTTGAAAAAGCTATGAAAGAGAGTGAATAATTCCTATAATGCAATATAACGAATTAGCATTTCGATATGTCACCATAAAAACTCTGAAACGCAAATTTTACTTTTTATAAAGAAAATATTCACCCTCATTCATAACGACCAAGGAAAATAATATTACAAAAACAAAAAAGCAAGCCACACAAACGCATTCGTACAGTTGGCTCTGGCTCCCGCTTGCTACGCCATCTGTGTTCGTGTTCCCAGGGCCGGAGATCAAGCGAATTTAAACTTACTTCACTATTATTGCTGCTAATCTCCTGTTTCTTCTCCTTTTTCTTCTTCTTTCTGTGGATTCAGAAGGGTGGGAATATTTACTTTTAGTTAATTCTAATGCTAAGTTGTTTGGTAAAATTGATAAAAATTATTATGATTTTATCTAAACTGCATCTATTTTCAGGAAATCACAAATTGGCAACTCGTTTAATTTTCCAATATATAATGCTATATTTACATATGTTTGATATTTCAAGAAATTACATACAATACATTTATTACTTTAAATTACTCTATTTTTACCTTCACTATAGTGTATATATTCATTTCCTTACATGACATAAGCATTGGATAATATTTATCGCTACAAAATATAATTCTTCGAACAATGCATCACCAAGAAAACAAATCAGCTATTAACAAAATTAATTTACCTAACTTAATCATTTAACATATATGATTTAGCCCCTCAATTTTTAAATTAATAAATCTATCTTATTAATAAATTACAATGGAGGTTAAACTCACACAATGTAGCCGATGCCAAAGCCAACGAGTGCGACCACGAGAAGGGACACCAGGACGGAAACAACGATCACCCAAACAGCTGTTCCGGCTGACTGATCTGTAAAGTAATTTTATAAGTAAATAAGTAAGTATTCATGTTGGTATATTCCGTCGACTATGTAAGTAAGGATCCATGAATTTCTGTATTAAAAAAAGTCTATCTTTACCATTTTTTTAAAATCTTTTTATCTTTATTATATACTTGTCTCTTTTTTGTGATATAAAATTAATATAAAAATCGTCTTATTTACTTGCCTATCAATATATATATCTATTAAGATTGGATAACTTCCTATATAAGATAGAATAACTTCATTGTCAAATTGTGATACAATATGTATACAAAATTAAATTTTTTATAGCATATAAATATAAATAAATAAATATATATATATATTATATATAATAATAACAATAATAATAATAATAATAATAATAATAATAATAACAACAACAACATGCAAGTCAATTGTTTAATTAAACTTACAATCAAAATCTTACTTAACAAATCTACTTTATTGGAAAAGACTTAAATTGAAATCTTTCTTATTAAAAAAAATCACTAAAAATCTTAATCATCAAACCTTTATTGAAAAAAAAATAACGCGAGATTTCACTTACTTCAAAAACTTACAATTTAAATCTTACATATAAATCCTTTATTTAAAAAAAATCGAAGTCTTACTTACTAAGAAAAAAAAAAAAAATCTAATCGAACTTTCTTTATTGAAAAAAATCGAAATACTTAAAAAAAAACGAGAAAAATGTAAATTATCTAACTTTTTTATTGAAAAACATTCGAAATCTTACTTAAAAAAACGAGAAAAATAAAAATTATCGAACTTTATTTACTGAAAAAAATCGATTCTTGCTTACCTAAAAAAAGAAAAAAGAAAAAAAGAAAAAAAACCCTAAAAGATCGAACTTTATTCATTGAAAAAAAAACAAAAAACAATCGCATCTTGCTTACCAAAAAAAAAAAAAAAAAAAAAAAAAAAAGAAAAAAAAAACCCTAAAAGATCGAACTTTATTCATTGAAAAAAATCTAAATCTTGCTTACCAAAAAAAAAAAAAAAAAAAAAAAATCTAAATCATCGAACTTTCTTTACAAGAAAAATAAAAAATAAAAAATAAAAAAAATAAAAAAAATAAATAAATTCTAAATAATCGAACTTTCTTAAAAAAAAGTAAATAAAAAAATAAAAAAAAAATCTTATTCATCGAACTTTCTTTACAAAAAAAAAAAAAAAAATAAAAAATAAAAAAATAATAAAAAAATAATAAAAAAAATAAAAAAATCTAAATAATCGAATTTTCTTTACAAAAAAAAAAAACATCTAAATAATCGAACTTTCTTAAAAAAAAAAAAAAAAGAAAAGAAAGAAGAAGAAGAAGAAGAAAAAAAAAAACAAAAAACAAAAAAACAAAAAAACTCACAATCGTAGTCCAAGAGCAGCGTGCCCTCGACCCCGCCCGGAGGCCAGGGCGACGACCAGCACCTTCAGAGGGCGACTGTCCTTCGGGGCTCTGAACGCCTGGGAGCAGATCCTTCCCTCCTCCTCCTCCTCCTTCTCCTTCTTCTTCTCCTCCTCCTCCTCCTTCTCCTCCTTCTTCTTCTCCTCACACGACGTCGCGCCCACGGAAAGGATGTCTGAGGGCGTGGCGGAGTCGTAGATCGTGATTTCCACCGTCGTGTTGTCTGCGAAGTCGCCCTGGACGACCATCTTGTCGCTGCCTTCCAGGGTGAGGCTGACTTCTCCCGGGAGTGCTGGGGGGGGGGGGGAGAGGATGAGAAGATGAGAGTAGGATGAGGAGAAGAAGGATGATGATGTGGATGATGATGATGGATGATGATGATGATGATGATGATGAGGAGGAGGAGGAGGAGTATGATGATGATGATGTGGAGGAGGAGGAGGAGGAGAGGATGAGGAGTATGATGATGAGATGATGAAGAGGATGATGATGATGATGATGATGAGGAGTAGGAGGAGGAGGAGTAGGAGGAGGATGAGGAGGAGGAGGAGGAGGAGTATGATGATGATGTGGAGGAAGAGGAGAAGGAGCAGGAGAAGGAAGAGGAGGAGGAGGAGGAGGAAGAGAGGAGTAGGAAGATGAGGATAAGGAGGATAAGGATGAGGAAGAGAAGGAGGAGTAGAAAGAGGAGGAGGAGGAGGAGGAGAAGGAGGAAGAGGAGTAGGAGTAGGAGTAGGAGGAGGAGGAGGAGGAGGAGTAGGAGGAGGAAAAGAAGGATGAGGAGGGGAAGGAAGAGGAGAAGGAGAAGAAGGAGGATGAGGAGTATGATAAGGAGAAGGAGAAGAAGGAAAATGGTATGATGATGAGGAGGAGGAGGAGTAGGATGATGATGATGAGGAGGAGTAGGAGGAGGAGAAGAAGAAGGATGAAGATGACAAGGAGGAAGATAAGGTGGAGTAGGAGTAGAAAGAAGAGAAGGAGTAGAAAAGGAGAAGGAGGAGAAGGAGAAGGGGATGGAGGAGAGACAGAGATAGGTGTAGTTTGGATTTGGTTAATGATTAATGAACAAATAAATGTGCAAGATATCAAAGGTCATGTGGCACTATGGTAAAGTATTTAACGATCCGGATAAGAAAGGTTAGAGGTCAAAGGTTATAGAGTCCTATAGGGTAGTAGGGCAGTGAAAAGGGTTAAAGAGAGGAGGACAAGTGGAGTACGGCGGAGTTGTGAAAGGGGGAAGGGGTTAAGGGTACAGGACGAGTAGATCATATGGAGAGTATCTGTGTATGAAAAAGGGAGAGTGACACTGTATCACTACTCTCCATCCCTTGTCCTCCTTCCCTCAGATCAAGAGAAAAATGAGAAATCAAGATGGAAGCAGGTAGAAGGACAGAGGAAGAATCAGACACTCACAACTGAAGTTCCCCGTGGCATCACCACACTGCTGCATCACCGAGGACCTTTCTCCCTCTCCTTCTGCGTTGTTGGTGATGTCAATGCAGTGTTCCCGAACGACAGGCTCCTTCGGGACCTCGAGGAAGTAGCAGGGACTCTCTGTGTCCTTGCAAGCACCCGCGTCCTGTAACACGACCTCCTTCTGCGTGCCTGTGTCTAATCTGAAGGAGGCAGAGGTGTCGTCCATCCACACCTCGACCACTTCGGCGTCCATGGCTAGAGGACGAGGAAGACAAGCAGAATATAATATGAGAGTACGTTTATATATGACGGAGTGTGCGACCAAAGGGTTTTCCTCAGGCCACGAAAGGTTTTTCTCGGACATTTTTGTTAAATTGAGCTTTCGTGTGTAACGCAAACATCGATATCTTATCTTTAATGCACGGCACTCATAAAATACTGTGCATTAGTGTCAATATATCGATGCTAAGGTCATTGATGAAGGTTTAAATTTATAAAACATTCCATAAACGTGTTGTCGGGTACTTGGCCTGAGGACCGCTTTCGACGCGCATACATTCATATGAGAAAAAAGTCCATTTAACATTCGTGAGTGATAGTAAATGGAGATTGTTTTTCTTAGTTGTAGGTCAGGGAAGAATGAAAGGTGAATGGAAATTTTGGTGAAAGACGGAGGGAAATAAGAAGGCAGACCGGTTGTTTTTGATCAAATGGTTATTCTTTCACTCACTGTTAACGGTTTTATTATGCATACTGTATATAAACTGTATGGATGCGTCTATGATGCTATAGTTAAGGCACGTTTAATAGCACAAACAGAATCACAAATACGTAAATAAGAGAGAGAGAGAGGAGAGGAGAGAGAGAGAGAGAGAGAGAGAGAGAGAGAGAGAGAGAGAGAGAGAGAGAGAGGAGAGAGAGAGAGAGAGAGAAAGGACGAAAGGAGAAAGGAGAAAAGGAGAAAGTGAGAAAGGAGAAGGAGAAAGGAGAAAGGAGAAAGGAGAAAGGAGAAAGAGGAGAAAGAGGAGAGAGAGAAGGTGCGAGAGAGAGAAAGAAAGAGAGAAACATAGAACATACACAGACATCACAGACCCACCCCACCTTGGACATCACGTAAGCCTGCCCGACCTCGACCAGCGTCCCATTCTCGCCCAACCCAAGGACCACGAAGTCCCACGGCCCGGCCCCTCGCGAAGGCACATCCACAGTATACTCCGAGGTCGTATTCGCCAGGTCGTGTCCCTCGGCGGTCGTAGCGACATCGGAGACGAAGCTCACGTACTCGGCCCTCTCGACGGCGCCGCTGCTCGCCACTCGCACGCGGATCTCGCCTTCAGGGCTCTGGCTGAGGGACGTCACGCTGCGGATGCGGGATCTCTGTGGGGTTTCTGGAGAGGGGGAGAGAGAGAGTGAGAAATAGAGAGGGG